TGAGACATACACTGCAAAATTGGATACATTACCAGGAAAAAAAAAGGTAAAGACAGCATTGCAATATAATCCTATCAATGTCTATAAAGCCTCCCTTATTTAAGATCCCACTGCAATTCAGGAGCAAGGTCTCTGCAGGGGAAGTCCTGAGACAAGCAGCCAGCTGCCATGCAGGCTGCACAGGAAAGGACCAGAAGTATCAGGTGTGGATGTCAGCTGTCTGTGTAGATGAACAGAATATCTTCATCAGTGCCGTAACTTGTCCTGGCTTCCTCAAAGTTACTGATGCTGGTGCAGCATGTTCCTGTTAAGAAGGAACAAAATGTTACTAAAAATTAAGAATAATTTGCCTGTGAAAGGCTCTTATACTGGGTCTAGCAGCCTTTACAAGGGTAACTAGTATACGGACTAGACCTATCAGCTTAGGTTACTGCTCTACTCAGTCAGAACTCTTCACCTCAAAAGGTAGCGCTCACTGAAATAATGCTGTAAAGAGGTACTAAATTAGCCATCCTGTTACATTCTGCACATAAGAACATTTCAGCATCTCTCACTAACCCCTCTGAAAGCCAAACAAGTTTGCTAGAATGCATGTCTCAATGCCTCAAGTAAATCACAGCACAAAATGCAGCACTGATTTAATTAAGGTGGCAAAACCCCATCTGACAAATTGGTTAGTGATGCATGAAATACACGCATGCTATTAGGGGAAGTCCAGCTGTGGCTCTGTATTGCAGACATGTTAGCAATGCAGTGGCTAAGAATCCATCCAAAAGGAACAGGCTACTCACGATCAGCATAGGCAGGGTTGTTGTAGTAAATACTCCCTGAGGCTTTGTTGTAGCCACATAACACAATGAAATGGCCCTGGTAGTCAGGATTCCTGCAGAAGCACTTCTGTCCAATGGGGAGGAAGCAGCAGTATTTGACAGGACTTGAGCAAAGATCACACAATAGCAGGACTGCATTCACTAGGACGATGGCTACGTGACCTTGGGACAGGTGGTTTTGGATGTCTTGAACGGTTACTGTGCTGCAGAAAAAAAAAAAAACAGACATGCTTATTAACAAGTTTAGGAAAGAGACTGGTATACAATGAAGTGTGTGATGACGGACAGTACTTATGCAGCTGGCATGGTTATTTTTGTATCACAGGTAGAGCTTTTTGCTGTTAAACCCTACAAGCTTTGCTACAGACAAAGCCTGACAAAAGCCATGTCATTCAAGGCCTTTTGATCTCATTGCTGCTACTGAAGTGCAGAGCAAGAGCTCTGGATTCTACAGTAATATAAATATAGTCTCAGAATGTATCCGATGCCCCAGAGAAGAGTATTAAAGGAGCTGGCAACTCATTCAGTAACTTGAGAGACTTCTGTTGTGGGAAAATTGTAAGTGAAGTGTTCTCTCCTGCTCTGAGAAAAGCTTCTCTCTGACACACCAAATCTTTATCGACTGACTAGTTAAAGATTATCACTAACCAAATTAAGATGTGCCCAAATTT